ATTGTAATTGAGTTTTAAGTTTATTGATATAATTTTACACCTGAAGATGGTTCGATGAAACCGAAACATGTTGTAAAAAATGTTCCAAATGTAAATCGATTATTCGATGTGGAACATAAAATGATATTTTAATTATCTTATTTGTAAATTTTAAATTTCAAAAATATAATTGTGATTAGACGGACAAAAACCGAATAATTAATTTAATATTTGATTCACAATATGACGTAATTATACTATCTTATATAGGGCTTAAAATGTAAGTTGTCGAAGAAACAAGAAATAAATATAAAGTTTTGTTAGCTGATAGTTTTAAAAAGTGGTCGCTTGGCAGACAGACAGAGACAGAGAAGGAAGTTGATCTTACGAAACTAGGCTGTGAAGATGTCAACGAGATTAAAATAACTCAGGATTGTGTCCAGAGACAATGTTTTCGTATCAGCGGTTTCAAAAGTACAAGTTTCTGATAACAGTTACTCAGTTAATTATGAAAGTAAGCGACCACGCAGGCGTATCATAGCCAGATACTTATAACGTGGAACAATAAGTGGCATTAGTGGTTACTCGGACAGATGCAGAGGGGTGGGAGGACAATAGTCGTGGTCGTAATGGGATTGAATCGACTCAGGAAACCGTTTTCAACACGCAACGCCCGAGTACACGCCACAAACACGTGTTCTACTAAAAGCCATTGGCAAAACTCTGACCTCAGTATAGCGTTTTCAGCTTATAATCAATAACGCAGACCTTACATGGCTCGCAAGTTATTTCATGACATTGTATCAGTTGAAGATGATAACTAACTTAGAAATATGTGTTAGGATAATAAAGAATTGTAAGTTGTGATGGATTTAGAATAAGAAAGAAAATGTTTAGAAAGACTATCATATCGTAAGGCAAACAATCGATCACGGAAGTCCCGATGTATACATAATAGAGAAGTTTCAATTGTGAACACGAGTCCTCACGTTCAATGAAATTCGGAGGATTTTGTAACCTTTGTTTAAGACTTTCATTTGTCCAATGCAAAGATCCTTATTTCAACTGCAATGTCGTTACACAGCACCAAATACACCCCCTTCGTTGGAAACTTGAGTGCAATAACCAAATACTTAATAGATTAATGTAGCTAATTTCTTTCAAATTTATTACATTTTGCATTCATAATTTAATTGTTTAATTTTAACCGTCTAATCACAATAAAATATTTTATTAAATAATATTCTTAAAATTAACATTTAATATTTAAAATATATTAAAATATATTAAAATGATGCTCTTTCTATCGAAATGTTCGATTTAAAATTAAACACACGTATTCAACACATCACGTTCTCCTCCTTAATTTAAATTCTTTGCTTTTATGACCTCGTACATAGATGGAATAGTCTTCATAATAATTATTCGTAAAAATGTAGCGGTTAACATTGTGTTATAATGCCATAGGTTTTCTCATTTTAAAAGTTACAAAACTCCTCCCTTTAATTAATATATCCCCAGCTAGTTCCTGCCTGGTACACACCTATGTTTATCGCTCCCATCAAGACACTCAGATTCTCCCATAATATTATCCGCCTTTTATTAATTAATAGCTACAGAGCTCATTGTTTCGCCT